ATATAAATATATATATATATTCTACACACTTACTGCGGTTAAAAGTTTTTTTATCCTTTTGAATCGCAGTAGCTTCACTGTTTCAGATGCACGTCGAAGGGCTGACCTGTATTGAGTCCCCCCCCTCCTATCAGCCCCTTTGACTGCATAAAGATTAATATGGATTTTTTGTAACTGTGAAAAAAAGGTTGGCTATTTTAAAGCAAAAAAAAAGGTTTTCATTAGTTTAAGATCAGTGCTGTGTTTTTATAATTTCAGTCATGCGAGCAGCTTTTTGGGGAGAGAGCTTTGCTCAGCAGCGTTTTACTTTTTTCAATTTTAATCAGGTTTGTTTTGATTTTTACTGAGAGATGGTGAGGAGGGAGGCATCTTGAGGAGTGAGCAGAATTCCAAGGCAGCTCCAAATTAATTATTTTCAGGAAATAAGGGGTTGGACATGTTGCTGATCAGAGCATTATAGACTTTACATCACTAGGCATCAGTACAGAAAGGATAACTAGAAACGAGAGAGCTGCCTTCTTTTGGAGCTGTTACATGTAAAAACTGTGCCTGATAGGAAATCCACACAATTGTTTTGGTGCTGTTGGTTATTTTATTACATGGAAAAAAAGTGCTCTATTCTGGCATTTTTTACAACAGGACAAGAGGCTTCAACGCTTTTTGATTCTAGATGTGCAATCTTATTAACATTCCATTCTCCTACTCATTTTGTTTCTTCTGTATTACACTCAATAAGCATTAATTATTATTTTTGTTTTGGTTTTGTTTTGGTCTGACGTGACTTCACAAGTAGAGCCACTAGTCTGTGTGAAATGTGAAAAATCCCGTTTTCCTCTCACTTTTCTTTGCGTTTTCACTTTTCAAGATGTATTAAAGAAAAAAAAATGGAAAAAAAAACTTAAAAAAAACTTTTGTACATATGCCTGTAAATTTCTTTAAATACTTGAGCCTTTTTGGGGGAGGGAAGGGAGGGTTGAGGAGGACATAAAGCAGATGAAGAAAAAGCCTTACATTTCAGTTTCTTCATCCATTTGAGTTTGATGCTTACAGGGTTCCTCTTGTAACATTTATAAATAAGTGCTGCTTACATCACTGAATAAATAAGGAGTAGCTGTTGCCCCTTTAGTTTTTCTTGTTTTTAGCTTTACTTTTTTAAGAAAAGGGAAAGAAGAAGTTCACAAAAAAAGTTTTTACATTTTCATTACTGAAAATTCAACAATGTGTAGTAGCTACTCATGTTGCACTGAGCTTGTCAGTGATGACTGTCAAGAAATCCTATAATCCAGTTTGTTGTTGTCCTTTACAGAAGACTGAACTGTTTTAGGGGTATTTAATGAAAACAAGTTGAGTGTTTTCAAAATGTGGTTGTCAAGTTTTTATGGCCTTACAATGTATTTTATGAGTTTTTCTTTTCTACAGTAAATCTTACTGCTTACAGTCCAACATTTAATTTATTAGCGCTGCTTTTCAGCCTTTCCATCAATATGGGAAGATTCATGTTGGTTATTGACAGTTTTTTTTTTACTTTCCAAGTTTGTACTTTTAAAGGTTTAATAAAAACTTCTGGACAATTCACTGTCAGTTCTTTACAAAACCTGTTTCGATCTTTATTTGTCTGAAGCTGTTCTTCATAAGAACGTCTCTGCTGTTGTTTTAACTTGAAAGAGATATTGCATATGTAGGAGTCATTTCTGCTGGTTGGGTTTTTGGTGTCATCCGGTATTTCCGAAAAACCTGGGTGCTTTAAGGCTCAGACTGAAGTGGTGCTGATCATACATCTTGTAATTGTAGGAACTAGAGGATCCTTTTAGAAATCTCTCCTCTGCTGGCTGTTAACCTGTCCCTTCAGTATGCGGGGTCACCAAACCTTTCACTCCCAATGTCACTGATTTGCCTTCTCCATTATCACTGCCAGATATTTTGGTGTTAACCGCAACCTAATTACATTCCTTAAAAAAAAAAAGTGGAGCAAATCTGGTTTCCAGCGCACCACGCAGCAGGAGTGCTCCAGCGCAGAGTCTGTGGGGGGGATCTCGTGCGTGCTGCCTGCGTTATCCCATGCTGAAGGGAAAGTGTTTGGTCCATGTGGAGGAAGTGTGCAATAAGCCGTTACCAGGGGGTTTCCTACACTTGGCACCCCCCACCCCTCCCCCTCCTTACCGTGATACCTTGGTTAACCCACAGTGTGACCACAGATTCAGACTAGTGAAACTGACCCAGCTGTTTTTTTTTCCCTAAGAAGGCTTATGGCCTAATATGTGTTTTGGTCTAGCTATATGCCTGTATTTCTATATTTATACTTTTTCTTTCTCAAAGTTGTAACCAGTTTTACACAGTTTATAGATGATGGCTGTCTCACTTTTGTATCTTTTGTATACCTTCACCAGCTGCTGCCTGTAATGTATTTTTGAATCTTCGACAGCGCTGGGAATTTGTCCTGTCCAAACCCTTGCAGCTATTCCTGTTGTACGCTTTGCGACGGCCATAGGTTTCCGAGCCCAGCCTCCTGCGGATGTTTCAGGCCATTTCATGGCGTCAAGGGAGGCGACACTAGACGGGTGTCACGATTCTGCATTCGTAAGAATCCGTATGCAGAGTCCCTGGCGCATGCCTGTAGTGCTGTAGCTTGTTTTGTAATGTAGTGGCTTCCTTCCCAGAGTGCTGTGCGCCAGGCTTCGGGAGAGCTGCATGATGGTGTTAGCTGTAACCATGCACACTCTCTTTTGCAGCGGTGAAGGAGCAGCAAGTTTGGAAGGCTCTGAGAGAACACAATGCTGAGTGCTCCTTTAAAACTTTGGAGGGAATGGAGGCCTTCAAAATCGGAGGCTGAAAGCTGAAACCCACCATCCTTATGCTAGTGGTAGATAAACCCATTGGTAATGGCTGTTGTTCCCCTCCCAAAGGGAGCCATGAGTGGATGTGGGGGGGGGGGCATCCTTATTCACTTCAATTCACAAAGCTTTCATCATTCATTCAGCCTCATTCACAACCTTACCCTCTTCCTCCCCCAGTATCTGGGTTCACCTCTAACCATTAACCAGACCCATCTCACTTTCAAGGACGGTATTTTATAGGTCATCATTATGTAGCAGACTAGAATGGACTTGTGCTTGATTGTTTTATGTACAGCTTAGCTGAGACTTGTTGAGAATAGTATTTTTTAAAAATCTTTATGGAATGTACAATCAAGGTCCCCTCCATAGTAAACCCTACTTGACCTAGATGATGATCGATGTCCTTGAATCTCACATCTACATTCTCCTACTGCTATTCGCATTTCCTCACACTTCGTACCCTTCACCGGCCATTACTGGTCTTCAATGTGCCATATAGGATGCAACACTCGGATTAAAAACCCTGGTTATTGTACAGTAGTTAATCAGTTACAAGTTGTAATTTGGATGGATTTCAAGATTTTTGTTCCCTTGGGTTTGTCAACTATAGGCAGGAAGTGCAAAAGTGCTGTCAAAGATACGTGTATCTTAATAACTTGTATCTGGAGATGACATTCAGATTCACCAATAAAAGCAAAACGTTTCCTACTTCAATGATGTGTTTGTATGTTTTGTTACTCCACTGTCATTTCCTTGGTAAGCATAACATTAGAATGCTGCTGGCAAAAGTGAAACCGAGTACTTTTTTAAAGAAGATGTAAACACAGGTAAAGTGTAGAAACATTTTTACCAGCAAATTAATATTCTTAGTCAATAAACTACTCCAGTACATTTACTCTGGTATAGTGTTTTGGTAAAATGTTAAAAATTCGCAACCATCTGGCTGAGATAAAAGCAAAAACATATAGGAAATACATAACCTTGGGTACATGAAATCAGAATTTCATTTTAGAGCTTCAACAGAACAGACTTTTTTTTAAACTAATCTCTTAATTATAAGGCACCTTTGTTGAATAATTGTGACGCTGGGCCCTGTATATTTTTCAAGTGTTTTCTGTTGATAAAATAAGCAGTTATCGGAACACAAATCTGGCAAATATAATAAAAATAATCACACACAGGGTCTCGTTGGGAAAAGTCCTGACAACAGTAATGAGACAACCACCCACACTGATAAAGCAGGCTGAACTGTAAGACCAAGGCAACCAGTTCCAACTCAAGCTTGGATTCTGTGACCAAAACACAATTAATTTACATTTGGTATAACTGTTCTTTTTAATATGTAATATTACTCACAGACAGCTGCCTTCCCATAACAACAGAAAAACTCAGTTCATGGTTCATTGGCTACAACAGACACCAACTGTGCAAACAACATCTCCAAAGTGAAATACTGCAACTGTGATATATTTTATGTGGACCCGCCTAAGGATTGCGGTACAGGAACTGCAGAACAAAGTTTTTTAAAAAAAACAACAAATTTCCAAGATGTTCCAAGGGAAAGATGTGCATTACTTGCGTTTTGGCAGGTAAGTTTCAACAATTCATAGGATCCTTCCAGTGCCAGGTTTTTCCACAAGCTGTTGATCCAAAATATGTACTGTAGGTACATGGGTAGCATCAAGGCTGGAAATCACCCTTCTAGAGACAAACCTACTTCATGGGAAAGTGAAGCACTTTTAGAAGACCACTCTGCCTTTTACAGCTTACTGTTACTGCAGATTTGGAGACGCAACAAAGGAACTGTGTGCCACTGGCTAAGGATCCAATGGATTATAGACATTGCAGTAATGAGAGAATTGTACATGGCCACTACAAAGGCAGATGAGCTCTGAATGAGGACTTGCATTAGTGTGCAGGCTACACACGATGGAGGTTAGGTCACACCTGGGGAAGGCTCCGCAGCTTAAACTTTGTGCATTTACTCTTCATCGACGAATTAACCTCTACATGTCCTATTTCAGTGCTCATACAGTGTACCGACAAGACAAAATCTTCAAATATTCATAAAAATGACAATATTAAAGGAAATAATCCTTTAGTGCAAGGGTATGCTGAAAAACAAGGTTTTGTGCAGGCTTTTAAGTAGCAGTCAAGAGAATCGTTCGGGTCATTGGTGGTTTCAGGTGGTTTTCCTCCTTCCGCTTGCTGTCCAGCTGGCTAGAAATAAGATGGTACAGGCTGATGCTTTTTCCCTGATCACCTCTGACTCTCTCCTCCAGGTGACTGCTGCGCTGACGGTATTAAGCCCAGGAAGGATCTCCTGCTTCAACAATGCGACAAAGGGAAAACTAGGAATGAAGGCTGCAAATGCGGAAAGGAAAAGTTCGCAACAAAACAGTTTTTATTATTGGAGAGGAGCTTTTAGATTTCGTTCTGAGGATGATTCGGCACAATACTGAAGACAGTTAGGTTTTTGGTACTTCTCAGTGAAGCACACTCAAGGTTTCTAGAAATCAGGGCCAGGGTGTTTGTTTGTTTTTTTACGGCCTGTGTTTATGCGGCCTGTGAGTCGCTGTCGTCAGAGTTCTCCTTGACGAGCTCGCTGTCCCGCAGCCTAGCCAGCGTGTTGTCCGCCTGCACCTCCTCCTCGTCCGACTGCACGACGGGGGAGTCCCCCCCCTCCTCGCTGGCCTCCTGGCTGGCGGAGTCTGTGCAGGTCGAGGAGAGCGAGGAGAGCTTGTGCCGCAGCTCGGCCTGGCTGGGCACCTGCAGGGTGATCTCGCTGGAGTACGTCTCCATCTCCGGCCCTGCACCAACAATAAACGTGCCGGCAGTCAGTCACCTGGGCATAACTCTTAGTGCTCCTCCAAGAAATACGACTCATCTTTTCCCCAGCCAAGCCTTCCTCCCCCCTGTGCTCCACACACACCTCTGAATCTCCCTCATGCTAACGATGACTCCACTCCAGTCTATTTGCCTGAAGCTCACTGGCATCTAATACTGCTGCAAACGAATACTTACAGTAACACTTGCTACTTTTAAACATTGATTTTCTTACAAGCACTGAAAAGTACCATTTTCAAAACCCTCACCTTTTCCATGTTCATTGTTGTACTTAAAGAGACAAGATAGCTTAGTGGGCTAAACCACTTTGTGTGCCCAAATCCCTCCTCTAGCTTCCAAAAATGAGGTGACACAGTGGTGCAGTGGTTAGTATTACTGCGTTTTTAGCACTGGGGACCCATGTTCGTGTGGTTTCCTCCAGGTTCTCTGGTTTACTATATTTCCTAAGTCCAAAAACATGCTGCTAGCTTGTCTTCTGGGAACAATGGCCCTGCTCTGAGTGTGTATCTGTCTGCCCTGCGATGGACTGGTGCCCTGTCCAGGGTGTACTACTTATTGCCAGAATAGGCTCCAGCTATGTGACCCTGAATTGGAAGAAGCAGGTAGAAAATGGATGGATGGATGTTATATTTAAGATGTCACTTGCTTCTGTTAGTTGCATCCTACAGTAGGTTTGCCCAAGGGTCTGCTGGACAATCCATCTAATTAAAGAGCTAACGTTTAGCTATAACAGTTTGAATCTTAAAACTATCCAAAATGGGAATGCAAGCAGTTTTTAACTGGTAAAACAAGTTTAGCAGACTGATACATTTCACAGTTAAAAGTCCTAAATTTAATAGATTAAATACCTGATGTATTATTTCAGTATTTGCTGTTCATCTAAAAGAAGTGTGTAAAACATTTACTGTGGATATTAGCACTTGATTGGCTTGCTGGATATTTCAGAAAAACAGAATAAATGAATTGTAAATAAAATGGTTTCTACAGGGCTGAACTCCTGAACTGAGGCTTTAAAATTTAAATATTTTCATATTTGTATTGTTTTCACTGTCATTTGTTCTAAGTGTATCATAATTATATGGAAATCTTATATTTGACCATGTTTCTCATCAGAAAACATTACCTAATAAAAACTATTAGAAATTATCATGAATCTATGATGAAGTTCGCAAGTTTTTTTTAAAATGTTTCTTGTTTTTTGTTCTGTATTTTCCAGCCCTTGCACTTTCAAACACATCGATCCATCTGGCTGTTTGTCAAGACCATGTCTGACACCTTGGAGCACTTTTCTGTCAAAGCAATGCTGCTCTGTGATGTAGCCTACAGCATGAAATCAAAGGCTACAAGCAGAACCACTTCCTTTTTACATTTTCAAGCATTGAAAAAGCTGTTATGAAATGATGTTCAGTTTGTCTAAGCAATCAAGAGCTCAGGACAAAGCTCATACAGTTTTGTGTTTGGCTCATATATTACACTGTAAAAAGCAACTTAAATTTGTGCTGCTTTATGCAGCTGGCATGGCATTTTACTGCAGTGTTTTGAGTGAAGTACTGAGCCCAAGGGCACAACAGCAGTGTCTCACCCTGGATTTGGGGGGCACACCCTTCACGATACTAGTACAGACCCTAAGCACGACTCCACACTGCTGCCTCAGCCCGCTGTTGTGCACTGGGGCACCAAGGAGCTCTGTGCCCAGCTAGTAGGCCATGAGAGCCCACCCAATAAGACCACCACTGTGTGTCACACGTGTCTCCAGGAGAGCCCTAAGGGGCTGTCGTGGAACTAAGCTTTTTATGTCAAGATACCTAGGGGTGATATGACAGCAGCAGTTTAATTCTACAGCTTCCTCCCCATTCTTGATTTAGTCAAACCAACACGGATTCTAACCAAGCCTGTCCAACCAGTGGAAACTGGTGGGGAACTGCCCCCAGCCCACGTGTTGTCAGTGGCTTGGGAGGGTGTGGGGTGCCGTACCCAGCATCGGCGAAGCCACGCTGTTGTCCTCTCCTCCTGAGTTTAAGAAGACGTCCAATGCCTCTTGGTCGGACATGTCCATCAAGTCCATCTGCTCCAGCATGTCCACGTTTACCTCCATTGAAGACATGCTTCCTATAGGCTCTGTCAACACGAGAACAACAAAACAACAACAATGAGTTTCTGCTAATGGTTGCCCGCTGTACTGCAGCAAGGATCTGAATCCAGGAATCAAGCACGTCAAGACTCCCCCGATCCAAGCAACAATTATAGTGATTCTGGGCAGTGTGGACTAACTTGTATACCCTATAAAGGCGTTACGAAATGATTTAAGATGCCCTGCTGCCTGATGTGGTTCCAGGAAAGACAATTTAAATCTTAAACAGAACTGTCACCTTTTTTAAAATGTGTAACTGCCAGTTACTTTTGTGTCAAACTTAACTTTCACAATCCATGGTTTCTGTTTCTCAGGCAAGCAAGACACCTTCCACCACCTTAAGCCAGTGTCTCGGGTGAGATGGGAATTCAGCGCAGCAGTGCATCAGAGAAGCTCGGCATGCTTTTGTACAGTGACTCAATGCATTCGGTACATTTTGGCTTTTGATGGAAGAGAAACAAACTGCGATGCATGGCTACCATACCTCAGGTATTGTCAAAGCAGGGCAGCACAGTGGAGCGCAACAAAGAAAGAAAGGGAACTGTCAATTTATCAAGTCCAGAGTCGCCCGGAGGCAGAGTGAAACGGCCTGGTGCCTCCCCACAACCCCACTGTGAAACCCAGAGTAACGACACAGAAAAACATATTGAACACAGACCTCTCACAGAGCTTTTCAACTGCTGCAACTGCACAAATGAAACATTGTACAGCACCAGACTGAGGAATTCGCCACAAAATCATTACCAGGCACCTTCAACTGTGAGGTGTCCAATGCGATACAGGAACAGGCCACTTTAACGGTTTTAAATACGAACTTCAAGACGTACTTCATGCACTTATAATTCACACTTAATTTGACTTAATCCTTCTAGACGCCAGTGACAGCCACGTCGATATAAGAAAGGGGAGCCAGTGCATCAATCATTCCAACTGAGCGTCTGGGAGAGGATAAAGAACGAGGCTCTCCAGGGCCAGAGCTGGACACTACTGCCCGCAGACAGTCCACACTAAGGTCTGCACATCATGTCACAGCATGTTCCCTTCAGAGAGCTGGCCATGCCCCAGTAATCCTGCACAGCAATCCTCAACTAGTGCAAAACGTTCCAAAACAAACACAAACATGGGAAAACCAAAATGACCTCATTGCATTGTTTATGTCCCACCGGAATTAAAAACCAACACCAATCTGCAGTAAAATCTTAAAAGTCTCTTAACAATTTGTGATATCAGAATATATGCCGTTCTCTCTCGTTGTTCTCTTATTGGATGAGATATCTCAAAATACAAACTTTCTATTCCAAAAATGTTTCTAAAGGATGTCTGCCTAATACAGTAAACATCACATTACCTCACCCAGACAGCTCAATTTGAATCATTGGTATTTATTAACAGAACGTCACAGTCAAAGAAAGCACAACAAACTGAGCTCAGCAAAACCAGTACAAGTATTACAAAAGCGTAACAACATTGCATAAGTAACAGCACAATGTTTTAGCTAAGAAGCGCATATTTTTAAATAGTGCAACCAATCAGATGTTTGGAGGCTTTTTTTAAAAAGGAATTTTGACACAAAGCAGAGTCCAGATTGTTAAGGATGCTACAGTACAGTTTATTTCTTGTACTAGAGATCATTAACAATACCACAGTTTAATTTCTACTTACCTTTTCACTGTTTCTGCTCGTTACACCCACAGTCAATTCCCTTATTGACCCTGGGTTGGAGATGGCTGTCCTTATAGGTTACTTATATTTCGTGCACAGAGGGGAAATGTACAGGGTCAAAACAAAGTGCAAGAGAATACCGTCCACACATCCTATGTAACTCTGAATCACGTTAAGGAACAAGGGAACCCAGCAAACAGCAAAGAGCTTCTGCTCCTCTATTCAACACATTAATCAGTGTGGACAGTGTGGACAGCTGTGACTGCCAGGGAACTGCAAGCTTTAACAGAGCAAACCCACAGAAACTTTGGACAGCGACAAATTTAGAGGATGCATCAGTATAATACATCACATCAGCTTTTGCAGTTGAATGACTGTAAGAACTGTAGAATCAGAATCTTGTCTTCAGGGTGATTACAAAGAGAAAATAATAATAATTACCACGGAACCATGTATATTAATAAAATCAGTTTCATGAACAGCATAGGAGCCCCACTGACAAATGCAAATTACTATTGGATCTCTTTTTTTTAGCGACCAAACCGCATTCTAGTCAATACTCAATATGTAATGCAAACATTTTGTAAGTAAACAAGTCTGCAAAACATGTTGTGTGCTTTCTAAAAAAAGGATACTTTGGAAATTATTTAAATCCTCCGGTGTACTGTAGCTTGATATTAAGTGGGGTCTGAACTAGAACACTAGTTTCTAAGGGGGATATTTTGGTTTGTCTGCAAGACTAAAATACATTTTAAAAAACATTTCATGTAGCAAATTTGTTTGAAAAGTAATAAGAAATTGTTGTTTTGTGAAAAATTATTTAAACCAGAAATCAGCTGTTCAACCAGCTCATCTTACATTAGAGTCATTAAAATATGTTTCTTTTGGAATGGTGTTCAGGGATGGCTTTATTTTGATGTAATATGAAAGTTCTCCAAATGAGTTAATCCCCAGATAGAACACTTCTTTAATCCATTTTGATTTAAGCAATGATCAACACCAATCTTCTAAAAATGTGCATGTAATTTACAATCTACATTCCTTTCCGCCTCCTATTTCAAACTGATAGTGTGTGTGAAACATTAGAAGCTATCTGTAAAGAGAGTTAATAATGTTTATTTCTGTGATTTTCCGGGATTGTCAGTTAAAGTTATTTCCCAATGTTCAAAAAAAAACTGCCCTTAAAAATTACAGAACAAACTGTTTTGTTAAAATTGCTTTAGTTTATCAAAAATGGTAATTTACTTTAGCTTCTTCTACTGATGCAGTTATTTTGTTAATTATTCTATGAATAACAGAGGATCAATTACTGTCAAAGTTTAATTTCTAGGGCATCTTACCACAATGTACAATAGCATCTAGGTTTTCTTTTCAAAGACTACAGTGGTAGTGTTACTGGGTATTCAGCAAAGGTATAGACAATGTCCTAAGGCACAACACAGCAAGCAAGCATGTTAATGCTGCTGTTTTCTAACAGCAGCCAGTTCACAGACATGCCCACTACAACGTCATTACAAAGTTGTTGGAAAGAAGGTAAATCGTCATTAATAAATGGATGTGGCTCTAGTGCAATTACAGACACACAGACATGGAAGATTTTCTTTATTTTGACAATACTACTCAAATTATTTGCTCTTGTTGATGTGACACTATTTAAATCTTAATCATATTTTAGTAATTATTAGCTCTATTAGTTACTGTTTTGAAAATGATTAACAAACAGTATTTCAGATTTTGGACAGATCTTTAAAGCTCTCAAAGGTTTCATATCTCTGAGCTTCTGCACATCGGGTGTGAGCACAGTGTAAGATAAGAAAGTGGTCTACTGGGCTATGCACTGTTTGGACTGAACAGTTTTAAATTCAAGACCAAAAAGTACAGCAGTCAAATACAGAAAATCAGACTTGAACAATGTGATCACTCCCAAACACCACTGAGGATTCAATATCTAACAACTGAACAACTCAGAGGTGTGAGGTATCTAGTAAGCCACTCTCAAAACACACCGCACTGCTTAATCTGTTTTAAGATTTGATATTTGATCAAATTTAGGAAAGGGTGATTCCTAAAGGAAATGAACACAGGTTATTCCTTCAAAAAATGTTTATGTCTTCCCAAGTGGGTCTGTCATTTTAGATCTCTGGAGGGATCCTGAAATTTGGCAGAATTTTATTTTTGTTTCACACCTGCGATGGTCGAGGTTTCTTCTCAAGGTCTGATGGATTGCTTTCATCATCTTTGTTTGATCTTATCTTTTTCCTGCGGATTTCAGTCACTTACCAGGCGGCAATTAGTCTTTTATATAAGGTTTTACACAAAACAGCCTAGAGAGACTAAATGATGTAGTATGTGCAATGGTTGGGTTTTAGAATAATAACTGGAAGGACAAGAGTTCAAATCCCAGGTGAGATACCACTGTTGTACCCTTCAACAAGTAACTTCAGCTGAATTATTCCAGTAAAATACCCAGCTGTATAAATGGGTAAATGTACTGTACATTACTGTGGATAAATACATGTTAGACGGGTCTTCAGGTGGAAGTGGAGCACAGCATAATTAACCTGCTCAGACTCCACTTCAGACAGTCGGTGGAAGAATGAGGACCTTGAAACAGGATCATTCCAGTAATAAACCCTTCCAGAGACTATCTGATCATGGACACTGCTGCTTCTAAACTCTCCTGAAGCTTGCAAGGTGCTGGCCTTGAGAAACAGACCTACTGTACTGTACTCCTTCCGGTGCTAGTGCCTGGAAATATATCTTCCGTGGAATGACAGATGGAAGCGGCTTAAAAAGCCTCCAGCTCACCTCTCCTCTCTGCGATCTGCAGGTAGCCAGTGGACAAGTACTGTTCCATGTCCTGCTGAAACGCCTCCTCGAAGAACTTCTGTCTCTCCTTCAGCTTCATCTGCTGGGCATGTTCCATCTCCAACACCTTCTGGGCATGCTCCGAATCCAGCTCCGCTGCAACACAACAGGCCAGGCAGGCGTTTTACCACTGTACACGCAGCATGGCAGCGGCTCAGAAAGACACTCACTGCGGGCTAGCATTTCACCACAAATACATCTGAATGTATAACTTTAGGCTCTTTGCAGCATTTGTAGTGTAGCTTCTCATTTGTGCAGTAGAGAGAAAAACTCTCAATTGCAACTCTCTTGAAAACTATATAGAGCAAGAAATGCAAACATACACACACATACATGCGTACACATACACAGTATACACAGACATGCCTGCACATACACACACATAAAGACACACTTCTGTGTGGTTAACCCTTCCAGACAAATGAACAAAAATAATAGTCATAGACAGATGTTATAAAGCAAATACAAATGCAAAAGTAAGGAACAGCTCTCCCAGAAGTCATTGTTCTTTCTCATCTTACTTTTTTCAATAAGAAAACAACAGCACACAGGCAGGAAGTATTCTTTCCATTTTTACACCACTAAAGCACCAATACTATAGTTACTGATGGACATGCCATGACATGTCTCCTCTAAATATGAATGGTTACAGTTTGATTTCAAAGCAGCCTGGTGTCCATACCTGCTTTTATCAGATTTTAGAAGCACCCTCCATCTTGTAACAACAGTATTTACTTTTTTTAAACAAATTAAATTATGTCATCTGTTCACTAACAGTAAACTAAGAACCACAACAAACTATGAAATGAAATGCTGTATTGCCTTTACTGAACAGATAGCAGTAAACATTACTAAACGTCACCAATATACTGTATCTACAGAACACCCATAAGGATGTATGTAATGGGGCAATTTAGTTTGCAAGGTCTGTATTAAACTTGCTAAACTTACCTCTAGGGAAATTTAAATCTCACGCCCAAAGAATTGCACTTAGGTAGCACGGTTCATTATTCAGATTAATAAACAAAAAGAGACAAGACCGGGAATACTCATGGATAAATTGAGAATAATTTATAATTCCAAGTGCTTTTGTGCTATCCTGTTCTGGTCCTTACTATATTTTCGCCTATTTAAATTTCATTTTTAAATCAAAATAATATACAGTATTGTCTTACATTAGTGCACTACAGGATAATTAACTGACTACTGTGAATTTACCGTCCTGTTGACCATTAATTTACAGAGATGTACAGTGTAAATTATACATGTCTCTTTAGTCAGTGAGGTGCGTAATGTGCTCAGTTTGGTCTGGCATGGACAACTACTTGTTCTGTGGTGAGCTGTGGAGCTGTGGAGCAAGAACCTGACTTGAAACTGGTCACAGGAAAAAAGTCCACATGGCAGAACTGGTACTTAAAAGTACGCAAACTGAAAAAAGGGGAAAAGCTGGGAAACTCTGGTCTTGCAATCAACATTTTTGTTTTTGATTCTGCTTTTCCACAACAGAGACTGCAATGACTAACAGAACCCTAGGCAACTTCAAACAGCATGTGGCATGTTTTGAGAGGTCTTTTTTTTAGCAATCCATGAGAGGTAAAATTCAAATTAAGTCACAATACAGACAATGGTGGTATTATTTTTTCCCAACTGACACGCTTTAATTAAGGTCAATAAAATAACCAAATACAGACAAATGAACAACGTTTCCTTCAGGATGTAAAAGACTAACCCTCATCACTACCCTCTTTCTGTATATCACATTCCAAAAGTGACATAATGCATAAAGATGTAAAGATTTGACCTTGTGTAGAGTAGCACAGCCCTCTTCCTGGCACTACAAATCCAGGTAAGAGAGATACATGGCATCACCCATTAGGTGTCCTTTGAAAGAATAAAGTTATGATGTATCAGGGTACAGCAGAAACTAAAAGCTTGTGGCAGCATGAGACGTGATGAGTGCTGACACTGTGCCAGGAACTGCTTTCCAATCTTCTTGCAGTCAGGTTGAAGCCTGTTCCCTTTGCAGAAGCCTTTCTGGCTTCTCTTCAAAAAGACTTTCACATCAAACAAATTGGGCTGCCTAAGATGGGATGTTTTGCTTACAGTATATGAAGGCCAAACTCTTAAATCTATTCTGATGTCTTCCAATTTGAAACCACTGATTAGATAGTCTGTTCCAGATATGTTCAACTCTTTACATAAAGAAGCATTTCCTATTCTCCGTTCTAAATAGGTTTTAGTTTTTTGTGTGATATAGAGCCCTTGGTGGACCTTATCTATAATCCGTATGATCCTATAGACGTGAATCAAATCTTTGTTCTTGGCAGAAGAGATTGAGTTCCATAACAACAATCCCTTAAGATCACAAGTTTGTTCATCCCTGGAACCCAATTCAACACTTTTTTCTAATTACCAGACACCAAAGTATTCTGTTTACTTACCGTTTACAAACTCTACTTTGTTTTAACAAGAGCATTTAATCAGAATCTAACCACCAAGATCCCTGTCATGTGCAGAATCCTGCAGCTTTAAATCACTAATGCGATACATATATTGTGTGTTCCTACTACTAGTGTGGATCACTTTGCTCTAATCAATGTTAAATTTTGATTTCCCACGTGTCTGCCGAATCCAAGATTTTTTTTTTGCAGTTCTTTTGCATTAACTCTGACTGTTTTCAAAGAACACCGTGCATTAATAAAGTAAATATAGTCAGAAATTAACAACTGAAATTTATATCCTAAATGCTCTGTTTTTAAGCCTTAGGAATCCTGCTGGAAACATCACGTCTTTACACAACGAGTCTAGACTCCCTGTCATCTGCATCACAATGAAAGAGGCATAATTCAGAATGAATAATAACACAAGCACATTCATCTACGCCTCTATATATCTCAATACATGTAAACAGCAAATGTCTGTGGACAGAGAGCCGTAAATCTGTAAGAGTGAGGAAGATTTATTAACCAATAACAGAACAATATGCCTGCAGAGGCTCCCTCATTCTATACTATTATTCTACTGTATTGTATGTCTGGAAATAGAGAAATAATCTTCCTGTGGATAAAAAGCCAGCAGCAGACATTGACTGCTATATTAGGTTTGGGACCTGGAGGGAAGCCCTTTTTTGTTGTTTGCTTTGTTTTGCTTCATCTTAGAATTAGTTAAAGGTTTCTCCAGCCCTAAGGGAGGCGGACACTGCCTTTCATCAAAGTGGATGGCTATGAAGCACATCTCCTGTCCTTGCAGATAAATATGCCAGAACTGATTTGATTTGCACTTCTCCCCTGAGCTCAGCCAAATCACACTACAATACAGCAGGCAGGCCACGTGCCCGCTGCATAACAAGACCATTCTCCAGAGGAGTGCTTTACATGTCCCCCAAGCCTCTAGTTACCTACATGCAGAAAATACATCCTTTTATTGAATTTGCATAGCTTTGAAACCCATAAAGCGACATCAACTTTTTTTTATTTGTGTAAGATCACAGACAGACAATCCATTAAGAAGAAGTGATAAAGTCAGATCCCTTAAGGTGATCTGAAGGTCTTGAAAATGCTTCTGATGTTCTGATCGCTCATGATGATGCGCATCTTTTGGGCTTATTTGCTCTTATTAAAAAAAAGAACAATAATAACTTCTTGGATTTCCATTACAGTTTTCATCCCAAAGGATCTTAGAGCGCTTTTCACATAGGAGAGGAACTAGTTCGCCCAACACTGAAGTGTAGCAAAGCCACCGATATTTGGCAGCCATTTATGATAGCTCTCGCAGAGAAACACCTCACCATCATCTGAAGAGGCATGCATTTCGCTTTTTCTAGCGAACACAGCAGGATTGTCACTTTCAATTAAATCTGTGTGTGGTTTGGATTTGCCTGACAGCGACAGTGATGCATACTGGAACAGTAATGCAAATAATACTACAACACAATGTTGTTTAAAACATTTTGTAGAGAACTCTCATGAATGCATGGAAAGAATACCCCAACAAGAACTACAGAGTCACAAAAACAAAATAAAAACAAATAATACAAGCTACCGTCAATTTAAGTTATTTATTAGAAGGTGTAGGCAGAATTTGTTTTTCATGAAGCTGAAGGTTTCCTACAGTATGTATACACAGTATCTATGTGTTTACACTATAGGAAATAAAAATAAAAAGTGAAAAAGTCATGTACTGTATAGCAAGCCGCACAGAACGGTCATGAGCTGGTATAATACACTGTGACTGGTTGGCACGCATACCTTCACAGGCTCTAAATATGTGGACTATGACACCACTGTAGTGCAATGAAACCTGCAGAGTAGCTTGCAAGCTATGAATAGGCTTCTCTCTGTAAGGGTACTCCATGTAACAAACTGCAAAAGACTGTATGCAGGGGTCATGTGAACCAGTAACATGGGTACTGCTGCTCACAAGATGGGACAGAAAGTCCAGAAATGAGGCCAAACAGGTCTAAGTATGTTCCCTACCTGACAGATAGCAACACAAGCCAACTTTCAGCCTTTTTGTTTGGTCGGCTTACTTCAGCAAGGCATCTGGGCAGCTGCACATCCCATTCATTGAGAGAGTAGTACAAAATGGTGTTTAGTGCTGTAGCGTTTTAACTAGAGGCCTGCATGTTCAAGTCCAGGGTGAGGCACAGCTATTACACCCTTGAGCGAGGTACAGGATTTCAGTCAGATGGCTGCAGTAAAATGCTCATAAATGCTATATAAATGGACGCAGATGTAAGTCTCTTTGCATAAAGGTATCAGCCAAATAAAAGATGAATAATATATATACATGCAGCTTCACCTCCACTCAATTTTACACAGGCCATGGAACTCTGGCATGTATTACTTGCATTTTATACCCTGTTTCTGTAATTACTGCCAAACCTGCACACGTACAGTATGGTGCCACAGACATAAGGTTTTCACTGTGCTGGAGGTCTGACAAACTTTCATTAATGCACTGAGACCCAAATGCAGATTAAAGATTCAGCTTTAGAAGCAAGCTTCAGCTACTAGGTGTTAGTCTGTTCATAGATTTTCAAACCACTTGTGATAAAAATAGAGAAGCGTTTTAAGAGGAAATGAAATGCACATATC